GCTATCAGGGGGGGGGGCTATCAGACTCCGATTATGAATGACAAAATAACCTTATAAAATTCATACACTACATGGCTGAGTGCACAGTGCATAAGTGCATAGTGTATAGTGTGTCATTTGGGACGCAGTTAAAGACTAAAAACTGCAGGTTATATACAAATCTTTTTGGTGAATTTAAAAATTCATTTAAAATCGTTGTATTTTTTGTAATGTATGATGCAACATACAACGTTGGTTATGTATGCTAAAAAAAATCCCCACAAATTCCTTCATGCTAATAATGGCTTTTTCTTGCATTGCTCTGAAAATATGGAATTCATTACCTGCTTCCATTAGAAATGTTCCTGCTTTAAGAAACTGCTTTAAACACATCTTTTCAGTAAAGTTTTTAACTATTATTGTTATTTATATATCATTTATTATTTATTGTTTGATTGTATTTGTAATGCATCGTAGCACTTCAAGTATAAGAAAAGTACATTACAAATAAAATTTATTCTTACAATATTTTATTGTATTATTTTTAGAAAAAATTATTTATATTAAATTTAAAAAATACACGCTTATCCATTAAAAACGTATATATTAGAAAAGCCTTTATTATGATCTATCTATCTATCTATCTATCTATCCATTGCATGGTGTGATTTCTTATAGTTTTTTTTATTGCAGTACATTCTGTTGCTGTCTTACTGAATCAGCACGGTTCAGATTAAACTCATGGCAGATTAAAACAGACTCATGTCAGATTTGTTTTTTTACTCAGGGCCGCATTTGCATCCTCTGGCGACAATAGGCTTATCATTACAGGAAAAAGATGACAAAGATGACCTGGACCAAATGCCACATTTAGCCTAATAAAAGAACATCCTAACCCCCCACTGGTAGCAGTATATGCACAATGCACAACTGTGTCAACCACTGTTACAAGACAAAAGCAGTGCATGCTGCAAACAGATTCCACCCATTTCTCCCAGCACACGTTAAAGCATACATTACCTCCCATGCGCTATCCGACCTGCACTCAAGCTGTTATCCAGCACAGTAATTCTCTCGGGGAAAAGCGCGTTCAGGTCGAAAGGGAAATCCATTGTAAAGGACAGAACTGAAATCTTAAGACAATGCACTACTAATGCCCTTCTGCAGATTCAGATGCATTTATCACAGTGCCAATCGATTCACTGCATCACCGGCCTGCACTTAAAATACCAGTTCCACATTATTGCCGCTTCAGTAGTAGGCTGGTTTAAAGGCACAGATGTATAGCGGCGTTATGAGTGCTTCTTCTGTCCTCCTATTGTGTTTGTGTCACTCCCTTCCTTGTGCAGCGGGATGATGAGCGCTGGTCAGCCGTAGTACACCGCACACACTCCTGCACGAGTCAAGACGCGCAACACCTGCAAATTGTTTTATAGTTTCTTGTTATAGCTCTAAAAATGTAAACAAAAAAATCTTTAGACAGTGGCAGAAATCTGCGGCTTCAGAAGATGTATTTCCGTTTCCTCTTGGCAACGACGCACAACTTTGTGCTGCATAGCAACCAAACATAGCTAGCAGATATATGACCATATCAATACAGCAATATTTAAACACTTATATATATATTTTCGTATTTTTTATATTTGTTTTCCTCCTGCAACCTTTCTTTAACAACATTTAAGTTTAACGCTTAATGATTTATTTTTCAATAATAACATTTCCAGCAATTGCTACTGCATGCTGTATGACTGTGCTTTTTGATATATTACGTTAATTAATAAACAGTTATTAGTTAAATTAGTATGCTTAAATATTTCTGTGGCGTGATAATTGTTTTTTAACAATACAAATATCCCATCGCTCAGTTCAAATGAAGTCATAAAAACGGCATGCATGTTTTTATTTTTATAAACGCATATTTTATAAATAAAGTGTAAAGAAGAAAATAACGAAAAAAATGTTTAATGTAATATCTGCACAATAATAAGCTTAGATTTTCATTCAGGCAGATATTTCGCTACCCTGCCTGCAGCATTAGGACCCTGTTAAATATCCTTGCCTGCACGCTGCGCGGTCCTTTCCATTCTGAGGATGCTACAGTGCCACAGGTACCGGTGAATGGTCTTTAATTTTGTTAATTATTTTTTCAATTATATTATGTACCCTAAAACACAGTTTAGTGCTTTATATTTATATTTGCTTAAAACTCCGACGTTAACGCTAATTCAAGACCTGCAAAATGACACCGCAGCACTTATGGCCTCGCCCTCGCCTTTAGTCCATAGATCAACATGCTTAATCGAATATGACTTGATAATATTGCGTTAATCGTTTTGCAGATCATATCTTGAACTGAACAATGATGTTTTGGGAAACCAAATTTCAAAGAATGTGCCGAAGTTGCAGCAATTTCCCAGTAAGTGAGACGAACAGCTTTTTTATTTTCTTTAAGGGGTTTTCAAACTGGGGTCTGGGGACACTCAAAGGCCGCAAAAACAGAAAAAAAAAAAAACTTATAAATGTCGGTGGAAAGTAAATAAAATTATCTAAAATTTAATGCGTTCAATTAAAATAATAAATTAAAATTGATTTAAATAATTACTTTTTCAGTACTATAATAGTGAGTAAAATTAAAAACCTGCAAAAAATTTTTGCAAGATATTTACCATTTCTGATCATTTCCACAGTATAAATACAGTCTTTACATATGAATATATAGCCGCCTTTTAAGGATTTAAGATGGTAGTCCCTCTGAACCCATTTGTGGTTCTGTGACACTTAAAGATTGAAAACCCTTGTCCGTTATTGCATGTAATGTTGAATCATTAGACTAGAGTCTCTGATTTACTCGTGAAGATCTTCACAGTGCACTAAACACATGCTCTACAGCTTATGATTGGTTTGTAATGGCTTGGTGGTTTCTAAATGTAAATTTTTACAGATTTGGTGGGAGGAACAGACGTTGCCAGGTAGCTGATGTCAACAGCTTACAACCAATGGGTAAGAACTAGTTTATGCTGCAGAAACCTTGAATAATTGCTTTTCAAAGGAAGCATTTTGTCTTGGTCTATTGCATGTAATGATGAATCGTTAGACTAGAGTCTCTGATTTACTCGTGAAGATCTTCACAGTGCACTGAACACATGCTCTACAGCTTATGATGGAGTAGAAGTGACTTAGACTTTTTCTAAATGTTAAAATAACGTTGTTTTTTTTTAACCCAGATTAGTTGGGAGGAACAGGCGTTGCCAGGTATCTGATGTCAACAGCTTACAACCAATAGGTAAGAACTAGTTTATGCCAAGTAATCCTTGAATAATTGCTTTTCAAAGGAGGCATTTGTCCTGTTGTCCGTTATTGCGTGTAATGATGAATCATTAGACTAGAGTCTCTGATTTACTCGTGAAGATCTTCACAGTGCACTGAACACATGCTCTACAGCTTATGATTGGTTTGCAATGGCTTGGATGTCTCTAAATGTCTAATTACCTTTTAACCTTTAGGTTGGATTCCAGCAGAATGGTTAATCGCTACAGTTGATGACTACTGGGTAAGAAGTTGTTTCTTTTTCTTCTGTCTTTGCAAGTGTGGCCCATGAACAATCTCTAACAAATAGTGTTTGTTTTCAAGGTTTTCAGCAAACGGTTTGAAGCCAATATGGATGTTGTCTCCAGCCCATGAAGCTACATAAGGTTGGTGTCCTAACAGCATTTCAGATGTTTTATCAGTGATGTGCAGTGATGATTCAACAGACTAGAGTTTCTGATGACAACATGAAGTTCTTCACATTACTGAGCACAGCTTTTGATTATTGTAATGTATATTGTTACGAAGAATGTCTAGATAACATTGGATTTTAATTTTTTTAGGTTGACGTTATGCCAGAAGTATGTGCCAATGATGGGCATATTCCTTTGAATGCACAGACCTGTCACTCTGTAAGTACAGGTCCTGTAAATGTAACTTGGGTTATAATTGGGTGTTAATGATGAATGCGTTGTTCGGTTCCACTGAAACTCAATGAAGTAACTTTCTCGCGGCGCACTGAAACACAGACAGACAACGAATACACTTATTTTCCCCATTTGCAATCTAATACACTTGTTTTCTTTTGAAGGACAGAGGTTTATGCCATGGCAGAAGAGTTGTGGTGACCGGTTTGGAGCACGATGTTGAACAGTCAAGCTTTGTAGTATTGTGTATCATAACTTGAACACTTGTTTCAGTGTCATTGTATATCATTCTCAGGACAGTTTGAGAAAGTAACTGCTTGTTTTTGACTTCTCGGTTCTTTGTATACTTTTTTTTTATTTTTTTTTTATTGACACTGCTTTTACGTTTAATAAAAATCACTGTTACAGCTCAATATGAAGTTGCTGTTTTTTTTTTATGGAAGTAGCAAGAGTTGTGGTGACCGGTTTGGAGCACGATGTTGAACAGTCAAGCTTTGTAGTATTGTGTATCATAACTTGAACACTTGCTTCAGTGTCATTGTATATCATTCTCAGGACAGTTTGAGAAAGTAACTGCTTGTTTTTGACTTCTCGGTTCTTTGTATACTTTTTTTTTATTTTTTTTTTATTGACACTGCTTTTACGTTTAATAAAAATCACTGTTACAGCTCAATATGAAGTTGCTGTTTTTTTTTTTATGGAAGTAGCAGGTCCACCTTGTAGGTTTATGCCTTAATCTTATGCATGTTGTTAGGATACTGTCAAACATTAGTGCAAATGCTATCTGAACTATAAAAATATATATATTTTTGGAGATTAAGAATCAGTTTGTGTAGGCTTTTTTTTTTTTATGTATGGTCTAACGTCACGAAATATTCGTGTACACTACAGCTTATGATTGGTTTGCAATGGCTTGGATGTCTCTAAATGTCTAATTACCTTTTAACCTTTAGGTTGGATTCCAGCAGAATGGTTAATCGCTACAGTTGATGACTACTGGGTAAGAAGTTGTTTCTTTTTCTTCTGTCTTTGCAAGTGTGGCCCATGAACAATCTCTAACAAATAGTGTTTGTTTTCAAGGTTTTCAGCAAACGGTTTGAAGCCAATATGGATGTTGTCTCCAGCCCATGAAGCTACATAAGGTTGGTGTCCTAACAGCATTTCAGATGTTTTATCAGTGATGTGCAGTGATGATTCAACAGACTAGAGTTTCTGATGACAACATGAAGTTCTTCACATTACTGAGCACAGCTTTTGATTATTGTAATGTATATTGTTACGAAGAATGTCTAGATAACATTGGATTTTAATTTTTTTAGGTTGACGTTATGCCAGAAGTATGTGCCAATGATGGGCATATTCCTTTGAATGCACAGACCTGTCACTCTGTAAGTACAGGTCCTGTAAATGTAACTTGGGTTATAATTGGGTGTTAATGATGAATGCGTTGTTCGGTTCCACTGAAACTCAATGAAGTAACTTTCTCGCGGCGCACTGAAACACAGACAGACAACGAATACACTTATTTTCCCCATTTGCAATCTAATACACTTGTTTTCTTTTGAAGGACAGAGGTTTATGCCATGGCAGAAGAGTTGTGGTGACCGGTTTGGAGCACGATGTTGAACAGTCAAGCTTTGTAGTATTGTGTATCATAACTTGAACACTTGTTTCAGTGTCATTGTATATCATTCTCAGGACAGTTTGAGAAAGTAACTGCTTGTTTTTGACTTCTCGGTTCTTTGTATACTTTTTTTTAAATTTTTTTTATTGACACTGCTTTTACGTTTAATAAAAATCACACAGACAGCTCAATATGAAGTTGCTGTTTTTTTTTTATGGAAGTAGCAGGTCCACCTTGTAGGTTTATGCCTTAATCTTATGCATGTTGTTAGGATACTGTCAAACATTAGTGCAAATGCTATCTGAACTAAAAATATATATATTTTTGGAGATTAAGAATCAGTTTGTGTAGGCTTTTTTTTTTAATGTATGGTCTAACGTCACGAAATATTCGTGTACAATGCATCACAAGTAGATCGGATTTTCTGCTGCTGGCTGTTAGCAATGGCGAAGGACTTTTATTATGGAAACCGGTCCCCTCAGTTACTTGGTGGCTATTATCATATTTGACTTCACTGTACTTGACTGTTGACTCAATTTAGCTACATACTTGTTAATTTTTTTTTGCTACTAGCCTATCCGTTTTGTAGCAAATAAAAAACCACATTTTGGAAATCAATAGCCTTTAGTAGTTTACACGGAGGGTCACAAATCTCCAGAGCGAAGGTCATTGGGTCAGCGATGACATAATGTAACCGGTTCTGTTCTGTTCTGCGTAGCGACGCCCGATTTGTGACCGAATCGTTCTTTTGAGTCGGATCTTTTCAATCAATCTCAACTCCGGGAACAGATTGCAAGTGACTGTTTAGCGTATTTCTCTTACTAAATTAAGTAAAAGTTGTAGTGTGGTATTTCGAATTCGGTATGACATATTAGCATACTTTGCCTACTATTTAAAAGCTTTCTGGCTAAACCTGATATCGTTGGCTCAGTGACTCGTTGGCTTGTTCTTCTCTTGTCGCTTTGAATAAAAGCGTCTAAATATAAATGTAATACAAGTAATAATATGCTATTCCAGCCAATCACTTTTATACACGTATGATTCGCAACGAAATACTTGTAAAGAACAGCAATATGTGGCTTTATTAAATAAAATGCCGCGCCGGGATGTCAGACAGCACGTGATGCCACGAATCATTACGTTAAAGAATCACTGAATTGATTGGTTGAACCAGTTTTCATATGAACCGTTTGAAAGAACCGATTCGCGGAAATGAGCCGGACTTCCCTGTGCTAGACACGTAAACCAGCTCGTACTTTACACAACGACAGTTTTGTTGCGTGAGGTTATCTCCGGCAAAACGCCGTGAGTCTGTTGGACTTGAACTGGACTGTATTTTCGCACTGTGTCGAGCTGTTTATGTGCTGAAACGGTTTAAGTTAAAGCATGTTTGTGCCGGGCGCAAATGAACAGGAATGTGAAGCTGGCTTCGATAAGTGAACTCAAATGTTTTTGCAACTGAAGCATAGAGACTGATGTCTGGAAGATGTAACTGCATGTCATTACTGCAGTCACATAAAACTAAAGATTTGAGGTCGCAGGTATGTTTGATCCGGTCGCTAGTGTTTCGACATCGACACAGTTTAGCGTTTAAAGTTGTGGAGTCGATCGGCTAGTTCAGACATGCTAACCGACGCCGTTTCGCCTGAGGAAAATGCTTTTAGAGCTCTAAAATAAACGAAACCCCAATGCCACAATATTTTTAGTTGTCATTTGTCATTTTTAATTAAAAATTACATTATCTTCCTGTCATTGAGTTATTTGCACGGGTGTGGCCGTAGGTTGTTTTCTGGTTGATTTGCTCCAATACAAACACGCCTTAATACAGGTCTGTTGAGGTGTCATTGTTTAGATGCCTTCTTATACTTGTGGCAGTGTAAAACTTTATATGTCGTCTTAAGCGACACTCAACGTTGTTTTTTTACTCTTTAATAGCTATACAATTAGACTAAGAGCTATCTGTGCTTATTATTGCTTTATACTAGTTATTAATGTGTAATTATCAATTATATTAGCTTTCCCCCACACACTGACACTTTATTAATGTTACAGCATTTTAATTTTCTCCTTTGTGCATTATAAAGTAATAGTGCCGACATGACCGCAGTTGTAGGGCGAGTTTGGGGGTGGGTCAGTCCAGCGAATCTGTACTCCTCCTGGGGCAATAAGACCAAACCTGAGAAACCCCAAACAACGGAGATTCAGACCGGAAGCAGATGGGGCTTATGGGGACTTACTGCCTGGGTTTGGAGGGGCGAGAACACCAAAAAGGACCAAAAGACAATCACTGAGGAATTCTGGGAGACTGAGGAGACTATCAAGCCGTTGGAAGTTGAAGAGCTGAGGGCTGATGTTGAGACTGAAAGCGCAGCGGCCCAAAGCTCCTCACGCTGGTGGAGCCGAATGCTTCCATCCAGATACTTTTTCTGGCCCCGGTGGTCGTCGTCCACCGCACTCCGCCAGCGGAAATGTGCCGGGTGGAGTGAAGGTACGTGGGACAGCGATGAAGTCGATGGGCAATCAGACTATGGGACGCCTCCGCCGTCCCCCACGCCACAGAAATCTGCATTCCAGTTCTTCTCTCGCTCGTGGACGGGGGAAATTGTGCCTGAGCACTATGATATTTGCTTTAATTTCCTCCGCCACCTCTTTGACTTGTTCGTGGTGGGCTTCCTGACCACCGTATCCCCTCCGACCAAATTCATTTTGGATGTGCTGGGGATGCAGGGGGCCCTGAAGCTGTGGCTCCATGGGATGGCCATGTTTCTGGTGTCGTCTGTTGGGATGGCCGGACTGCTGTGGGTGGTTCAGGAGTACCTGCTGCCGTTTGCGTTGATCTACGGTATCGTGCAAGCGCTGGTCATCTCTGTCAGTGTATGCCAGAGTGAAGCTTCGGCAGAGGGGGATGATGGGAAAGTTGACGGAGAGGTCAAAGAGAGCGAGGAGGAACAGGACAACATATGGGAGCCGAATGAGCCACAGCAGACAGCTGACGAAAGCAAGAAGGGAGTTAAACAAAGGAGCTGAAGTCCTGGGAAAAGTGTATTTTTGGTAAGTAGCTGTTTCTGCCCACAGAACCTGTTTTCTTGTTTTGTTTGTGCTGGTGTCATAAGATAAAGACTTTCATTGTAGAAATCCATCCAACCCATATAACGATGCACCAAAATGAATTTTTAACCGAAACTGAAACTAACGTTTTCATTTAGCTGAAAACTGAAACTGGAAGTACTTAATACTGTTTTAACTTAATTATTAAATTGACTACATTTGAAATCTCAGAATTTGTTTTATATCAAAAGTTACTAAGCACAAAGTTTGTGATTTGTTATAATTTTAATTTGTCTTTTTTTATGATTATTAATAATTAGCCTCCTGCAGTTCCTTTGCAAACCCCAGTTTAGGAAACACTGCTCTAAATGTTCAGATGTGCTATTTTCATCCCATTTACTTGCACCATTGCAACCACATAGCAATATTCTAAAACCCACTGACACTTAAGAAGTTTCTTAGCAGCCACCCACAACACCATGGAGTTTTGCGCTCATAATTTTTTACAGAATATTCAGGTATGGATTGCCATTTGATTTTTGGAAGGCCATTCCTCTGGCTCATGTTGTTGTTGTTGTTGTTGTTTTTACAATCATCCTAACCTTTGCTGTGGGGCCAGATCTTTCACCCGGAGAAAAACAAGTGTGACCTTTTCAGAGAGCTGTGAAACCTGCTTGCGGTTTTGCGTATTTCTGTTCTCTGGGATGCATTTTCAGATATTGCCCTCCTCCCCCAGAGTGACTGTTTATGGTGGTGTCAATGATATATTGCCATTGTCTTCCTTATGTTTTGGGTTACATCAACTTTTTTTTTTGTACACAAATGTATGCGTTTTGCCCTCTTTGGCTTAAAGGGGTAGTTCATCCAAAAATGAAAATAGTGTCTTCATTTAATCACTTTCATATTGCTTCAGACATTCTTTCAAAGACTTTACCTTTCAGTTCCACACAAAACGAGAAACTATGAAACCTGTGCTGCCTTTTTCTTCCTTGGAATTGCAATGAATGTGGATGCAAAAGCATATTAAAACAAACATCATAAAGGTAGTCCATACAACTCATTAGCTATATTGCAAGGATTCTGAAGCAGGGCTGGGGTATATGACCAAAAATATCACAATACCTTTTGCCATGTCATACGATATCAATATTTACAGTGGGGGAAATATTTATTTGATCCCCTGCTGATTTTGTAAGTTTGCCCACTTACGAAGAAATGAAGGGTCTGTCATTTTTATGGTAGGTTTATTTTAACGTATAGAGACAATACCAACCGAAAAATCCAGAAAAAATAAACATTATATAAAGGTTAGAAATTGATTTGCATTTCAGTGAGTGAAATAAGTATTTGATCCCCAAGCAAAACATGACTTAGTACTTGGTGCAGAAACCCTTGTTAGCAAGCACAGAGGTAAGATGTTTTTTTTGTGGTTGGTCACCAGGTTTGCACACATCTCAGGAGGATTTTGATCCACTCCTCTTT